CTTTGAGATCAAGAAACTTGACAGATCTTGTACAGATATAAACTTTCTGCAGGAAAACTTCTGCGTGGGTGATAAAAACTCTTCTGTAAGTAGTATTCTCTGCAAAACCTCGTTCTAACCGCTCGACAGTGTTATACAACATCATAGTTGATATCTTATCAAAGGACCCGTCGTACACTTTGTGTCGACATTTATGTATAGTATAGCTAAATCGAATTTAGGAGTAGAACTTCAAAAATTGTTCTAAATCTCCTACGTCTTTTACTCTCTTTTTTCTATCTGCTCTCTTTTCTGTTTTTTAAACGATAGTTTCTGGTCTATGTTGCGTTTCTTCAGATAGCCAAGTACAATGCTTTGCGATTCCTGACTATCTGCGTTGCTTATTTCAGCTGACTAGTAGATATGGATTAAAGTAAATTTAAATTTTGACGTGAAGTTGCAGAGAGAGAGGATAAAGTTACACTCATGACCAATGTAGTGCGCTGTCAAAAAAGTGTACTAGGAGTGCCTAAGTCTAGCTTTCACTCGCATAGAAAAGTGTATACTGTTTCTAGACGGGTAACCTCCGTATGAAAAAAGCGAAGTATGCTGACAAACTACAGGATTCCTACAAGTATATTTTAAATTCTACTGAATTTCATTTCTCCCTGTCACATATAGATACTATCATTTCCAGCCAAAACAGATAAGAAAAAAGCGAAAAATATCGCCATATGTGAGATTCGAACAGTCGCTCAATAAATCAAAAGCAATGAAGACGCTGATCGAATATTTGAAAACTCTAACAATCTCTTTTCAAGTCATGACTTTTAGAATAGAATTGAACTGAATATTCAAGCGATAAGGATAGAAAGCCAAAGAGGGTGTAAAATATACATTACCTTAACATATCATATTGATTTGTGAAGACTTTTTTGGGCATAACTTTCCCGGTACAGATTTCAATTGGCAATTGTCTTTGATCGGAAAGAAAAAAAGTGTCCATGAAAAATTTATTGCTCTAAACAGTATATGATTAAGTTTCAGCTTTATTTTCTCAATCACAGCAAGTTGTTTTCTCACCCAATTATCCACCGTAGAAGCGAACTTTACCAATAACTCTTGTAAACGCCGTCCAATACCATTTTCCTGTTGAAATTCTTGTACTAATAATTTAGCGTGTTCATAATCTCTACTTGATAAAACTGTTTCAAGACAACGTAAGTAATTCGATAGTGTTTTGTTTAAGTCTGGTACGGGAAGTTTTGGGAGAAGCGTTTGCTAAAACAAAATATTTTATGTTGTATAGAGTGGTAACACATGATTGTGATAAGATCTGAACCCAAATGGATAAACTTAAAAATCTTCCCGTGTTAAGAATAAAATGTATTGCGCATCGTCACTTTTTGTGAGAATGATAAACAAATCAACATGCAAAACAAAAAGACGCTTTGTAAAAAGCAAAGCCTGCGTTGAAAACTTTTATAAAGGACGTCTAATATAAAGTAGTACTAACATCATAGGTGAGCCATGTTTTCGTTTTTGGAATAACTGTGGTAGTACAACTATTTTTTATGAGGTAATTATGATAATCGCGTGTAAATCACATAGGCATACAAAAAGCCACTTTCGCAGTCTCTCAGAAGCCAGTATCAGATTATAAAGTTGTTCAGAACCCTGAACTCAATCACATATCTGAAAATCATGAAAAAGAGAGCAGATAGAAAAAAGAGAGTAAAAGACGTAGGAGATTTAGAACAATTTTTGAAGTTCTACTCCTAAATTCGATTTAGCTATACTNGACAAAAACATCGCGTACTTTCGACGTGATGAAAATTTGTACAATAATTAAATCATAGACTTGATTAGCAAACAAGTAAACTATTTTCATGTATATTATTCTATTCGTACGACAAAAGCAATTGAAAGCCAACATATGTGCTATACTTGGAAGACAGTTGGTTACATAAGCGATGGCTTGAAAGTAAATCTGCATGTTATCGAAAAAACATGAAAGGTTGAATAAACTTTCAGCTCGAAGAGTTTATGTAAAGATCACCGCTAGAATTGACCTTCTGACAGTGCAGAATATAACTAAATAAGATGATTGAGAATAATCCAGTCTCGTACAATGCGAACCTCTATATATATATAAAGAGATTTTGTAATTGTAACCAGATCAAAGTTAACCCTTTACAGCCGGGTGTTGACTACTAGTAACATCGATCTATTAAGTGTCGAAGAAATTTCGCTCTAAAAGAATACACTTTGCCGATCCCTGTCACAGCAAAACAATAAATATAAAGAGAGGAATATTTTTATTAGTTAATTTTTGGCAGTCGACAGAAAAGGAACATACACAGAAGAGGATGTTGTTACTAAATGGCTTATGCAGCCGGCCGTAAAGGGTTAACAAACGTTCATCAAACAATGTCATTCGATTAACTATTTCATCAGTTTAAAGCTACATTAACACCGGCAAAAAGCAGCATACAAGGATTTCTCGACAAAGGATTTCTTTTCATTCATGAGACACGTGAAATCCAAAATGATCGAATTAGATGAAATGGTTGTAACTCAGAAAACCGAGTAAAAAATTGTTCTTCAAAATAATGTCAGTCTGTCTTCGGCACTCGATAGTCTCAACGGTGCGATGGAAACGATTCAACAAACACTTGATCAGAATAACTTCTTTATTCAACAGCACGAATCGTCAACTAATACACTGAAAACAAGAGTCGATCAGATCGATTCTAAACAACGTCTTCTTCCACCATCATTGTATGGTCCATCTCGAGGTCAAAATCGGTCGAATAATGATCATTTGAACGATTCCTATGATACTTTGTTCAATACATCAACAGTCTTCAATAACGATACTTCTTCATTCAATATTCCATCGACTCAATCACCAAACGGTCGACAACACGCTAGCATAGATCGTCGACCGAATAAACAAGGGGGAAAAAAACCACCAATTGTAAACAAAGGAAGAAAAACATACCATGCAGTTCTTGGTGGAAGTTTGATAAAATGGGTCGATAAGCGTCAACTTCAATCGAAAAATAAAATTATCGATATCCGAACAATCAGAGGTATCACTATTGAAGAAATGACGGAAAAAGTATGGGATTATGAATTCGACGATGAATTGAATGATTGTAAATCTGCAATAGTTGTCGTTGGCACTGTGAATTTGGACATGAACCCGCAGAACACGTACTTGAAAAAACAAAACATCTAGTTGAAACTTTCAAGTGTTGCTATTCGAAATGTGCATTAACAGTATCAAAGGTTCCATATCGATATTGTGATACGTATTTCGCATTTGCAGTTAAAATAAATGATTCGATCAAAGAGTACAATAAAAAACTCGATTCATCGGCTATCGATCAAAATTTCAATGTTATTGATTTTAAATGGACAAAAAGCGATGTAACAAAGTCTGATTTTATTCATCGGAAAGAAAAAGCAACAATAAAAATGACGAAACAGTTTCAGCGTCATTTGAGTAAATTTTGACATCCATCTGCCAGCATTAACAACAATAAACAATAACAAAATCTATTCGTCTTTAGTCACAATATACAAGGACTTCGTAAAAATATTGACTCTCTACGTTTATTTGTAAATGAAAAAGAACACGAACATCATAACGATATACAAGTAATGTGCATACAGAAAACTTTTCTATCTGACAAGGTGTCTGATGATGAATTGAGTATTAGTGGGTACAGTCTCTATCGGTTCGATAGACCTTCTTTTGCAGGAGTTGCAGTTTATGTAAAAGGCTCTTTGCGCCATTCTTTAATCGCATCAGACGCTCAAGCTGAATCTCTCTTAATTTCTATTAACGCAAACGATATTGTCCTCTGGTTAAGTAT